TTTGAAAGGTACTGTGACATGTGGCCGGTACTACTTCTGCTACAACCCATCGTAAGCCCACTGCTGAATTGCTTTTTAATTTTTACTGATGAATTACTTCATAGCGGGGATATTTGTTATAGTTGCCACGATTTGCAGCGAGCTTGCACCGCAGCTTTTTAATTTTCAGTTGCTATCAAAAAGATGTTGCTGACCATCTCTTATCCTCTATCGCATCTCACAACATCCACAGGGTGATATAGCTTCATGGATACTCTTACAACAAAAAGGCTGTATAGGCCTTTTTGCGTATGTCGTATGTCATATATATATCGTAAGGGGAGACCATGTGAAATGGCAAAATCTTATGGCTTTCGATAGTTTGCGGTATAATCATCTCGTTAACACCAGACGTGAAAAACACAGATCGGCGACGGGCAGCGTCACAAGTGCTAGAAGTCTGATACGTCGATTTTAAATCCACATCCAAAGTGTGTCGTCAGCCTGGATATCTGTACAAATAATTTCTATCAAACAAAGAATAGTAGTAGTAGCTTTGTAATGTTTACATTTACAGTGATTACATTGTGTGTATATGTGTGTGTGTGTGTGTGTGTGTGTGTGTGTGTGTGTGTGTGTGTGTGTGTGTGTGTGTGTGTGTGTGTGTGTGTGTGTGCGTGTGTATGTGTGCGCGCGTTTGTGTGTGAATGTGTGGATAGGTGTGTTGGGATTTAAATTATACAATTATACTAGCTTGCACTTCAACCATAATTTTCTATTTAACCGGACTTTCTAAATAGGACTAATGAAGAACTAGATAAACAATAGATAATATGACATAAATGATGATCTGTTGTTACATGTTATATAATCACAGCAGCATAACTTCTCGTTGTAATTTGGTTTAATGCCATAGAACGGCTGTATGTCGCAACAGCATAACATCCGTCCGCGTGAAACTGAATGTGCGGTTTTATTCACGACCAATTGCTGCTACAAAAATTAGACTGTAAATAAAAGGTAAATGCCAATTTCAGAGAACTGAAAAGAATGATTTAATTTCCACATAACGGCCAGAATTCGACGCAAAGACGTAGTATAAACACCTGATTTAAACCCCGACTTCGGAAACTATGGCGTAGAAATATTTTTTTTAGTTCCTTGTTCTCATGAGGGGGATATTTGCTACAGCTGCCACGCTTGGCAGGCGTTTTTTTTTCGACTTATTAAATGGAAGACGCTGCTGCACATCTCCAGATTTGTTTCCCTCTGTCGCCACTAACGACATCTACGGAATGATATGCTTTAGTGGATACTCTTACATCGCCACTAAACTTTGTTAGCTTGTCGGCTTTTACTCGTCATTGCCTAATTTTTTGACCTTTTTGAGTGAAGTTAGGAATATCACAAACTAGAGAAGTTCCTTTTGTATTTAATAAAAAAGACTCATCAAAACCTATTTAAAATTGATGAACATATCGCATAACAACATAGGCAGACGATATGATTGAACTTAAAATCTCTTTCTCCTTTGAAGTCGGCTAATACAGAACTTGTAATTTTCAAAGTGTGAAATACCGAAGAAGCTTAAATTGTAAAAAAAATGTACTCCATTTTCCGGAGATGAAAAATATAACAATATTTTTTTTTGTTTTGTTGTGTACTGTACTCAAGAAATCGGACACTTATTTAATCACCCCGGTGTCTGTCACAGAAATTTTCCTCAGTGAACAGTTACCGAAACACACAGTAACCGTTTTTTTCTTGAGAATGAAAATAGCACATAAATCATCTTGATAACGATATCAAGATGATTTATATTCCATTTACACTCAGCTCAGCAACTTTATATACTTTATATATAATACATAATGATTTCTTAAATTTACGCGAACACTACACATTGAATAAAACTAAATTTACGGATTTTATCGCGTTTATTTTACTACTTTTACGTCGGGAATTAAAAATAAGTAAAAGTAGTGAAATAAACGCAATAAAATCCGTAAATTTAGTTTTATTCAAAGCTTTAAATACATGTATTAAGACCTACGAGAGTACATTTGAAGTGTTTATAAAGCCTTAAAAAAGCTGATGTCCCCCGCTGTATCTAATATAAAAAAGTTGAGTTACTGGGTTGTAGAACCACTTTTCTGCCTGTAAATCCAAATAGCAGTGAATGCATGCTGTATTCAGAACATCTGACGTATGTATAGAGTCAGTATAATTACATGCTGTCCAGATGTACCATCTTAGTCCTCCGAGGCACGGAATAGATAATAGTACTTCAGAGGTGACAAGGCATCACTAGCTTACTTTGTTTGAAATTGGCTGTAGGTGTGGTGTGGGCTGCAAGTTTGTATGTAACTTCAGTTTTTAAAATTAAGAAAAACAATGTTAATCAATTAAGTTACAGCCATTATACATCCCTACATTCCTCCTCGCATTTCTGAGAGAATTAAGGGCAAAGCAAATGCCTAATGGCGTATTTCACATGTCTTTGCAGTATTTTTTTCTTTCTCCAACACAAAGTTTTCCATACCATGTTTCCCTTCACCGCCTAGCACGAAGTAAATCAGCTCTTACAATGCAATTAACAATTTCATTGTTGCCAGCGGCATCGAAACCCAATTGCTCGCATTCTGTGAAATGTCCAACAAGCACTTAGCCCCTGAGCTACCAGCGCCATTTATCCCATATAGTAGTAAATATTAAATATAGGTAGCTCTGATAATTTGAATTGAGTTTGATAACTATTCTTTTTTAAAGTTGACAAATCAGTTCAAAGACCACCTGATATAGTAAGTGAATGCTACATCGATCCTCGATTCAGAATCAAAATGCAGATGCGTCGCCTCTGAGTACTACGGTGAAATGCCTCGTTTCCAGCAATAAGTGTCTTCGGTTCTCTACACTCACTATACGAGACACAGTAGCATTAAGTTGCTATTATACGCTGGTATTCTGTGAGAGGGTGGTCCTTCCCCCGGTGGAGCCGAACCATTCATGATACAAAAAAAATATAGCTGTAGAATGGCTCTGCCACTTATAATTTTATTCAACCTATACGTGATTGTCTGTATTCGTGATTTTTCTGTGTTTTCTCAGCAATTCTCCATAAAATTTGTAACATTGTGCTAAACTAGATCTTTACTATTAAATAGACGTTGAAAGAGAAGCTACGCGCCAGGGATGCCTAGTTGATTGATGGCGCTGGTTCCGACGCTCGAACTAATGAGTTTCTGAGATCAATAGCGCTTGTGCTTCGCCTGTGAAAAGGTTTCAGATGAAATGCAACTGCTTCGCATGTATATCAGCTTCGCAGGCGTTTCATTCAAAGAAAACTTTACAAGCGTTTACGTGACTAACGTTTTATTAGTTCAATATACTGCAAGTTATCCGTTTTAAATTCTGAACCCATTTACCGTGATTTGTAAGAACATTCTAGAAACGTGTGATTTTGATGACGATATAGCATATTTTACGTAATTAAGAGATAATAATTACAGATTTTTAGAAGAAAGAGTGACATAAGAACACAAAGCTGGCCTGATGGTAAGAGGATACTTTCGTACATATACACCTCAAAATGAAAATCAATGTGAAATACTATCTGGAATAAAGCTAATTTTTATCGTATTTAATTTTAACTTTCTTAAGCCTCGTCGTTTTGAAGACAGGTGTTTGACGTCATGACGTTGTAGTTGATGTATCTTAAGTGTTGTAAATGCCCGAAACGTCGGGAAATAAATAAGTTAAAATTTTAAATTAGTTTTATTTCATGTGTAGTGTTCGCGTAAATATAAGAAATCATTTTGAAATATTTTTATTCAAGACTTTTATAAAGCACTTTCTGAAACTAAGGTGATAAGTAGATACTGTGGCACATAAACATCCACATCTGTCCTCGGTTAAGAATCAAAATGCAGATGCGTTGTCATATAACTCAATGCGTTGTCACCCCTGAGGACTAAGATGGTTTGCCTTATTTCCAGTAAAAAGGGTCTCCGGTTCTCTACACTCAATATGAAACACTAGTACAATAACATTTAGCTGCTATTTTACGCTGGTATTTTGTGAGAGCGTTACCCCGGTCGAGCCGACCCATTTATGCTACGACCACAATATAACTGTAGCATGGATCTAGCACGTTGTGAGTAGGTTTAAATACAGTAGATACTTACTTTCATGTAGACAGTTAGCTAGTTTATCACTTTAATATATTAAAATAAAACCTAAATAGACTACTGCTGGGTGTAAACCTCTTTTAAAAAGTAAAAAGAAAGCTAGTTAGGCTATCTGGGGTGTTTCACACTCTTACCTAGGTATTTATGTCGTAAAAATAAAATTAAAAATGGTGTAGGGAGCCAGTATACATCGTTATTCGGCCTCCCATCTTAGTTCTCAGAAGTGACAACGCATATAGAGCCTTCTTTACTTGAAGTAAGCTGCAGGTCTCCGTGGACTGCCGTAGCTACTTACCATCAGGTGGACTGACACTTCGTTTGTCACTTTGTTTGTTGGACACAAAAGTAACTTTGTTATTTATTTTATTATAGCAAAGGATAACAAACGAGCACACAGTCCACCTGATGGTAAGTGGATGCTGTGACCAATAGAGATCTACATTTATACTCAATTAAGGATCAAAATTTGGATGCGTTATCGCCCCTGAGGACTGAAATTGAATGCCTCGTATCCAGTAAAAAGGGTCTCCGGATCTGTACACTCACCATACGAAACACAGCAGCATTCAGCTGCTATTTTACGCTTGTATTCTGTGAGAGCGTGGTCCTGGCCCAGTTGAGCCAATCCATTCTTGTTACAACCATAATATAGCTGCAGCGTAGCTCTACCACTCCGACTCAAACAATCAGACGCTTAACGTGTCTCCACCCATTTGAGGTCGACATTCTACGCGATCGAAGCTATCGCTTTTGAGTTTCAACATAGCTAAAATGAGACAAGATTTTGTCTAGCCTCCCGATGGTATAAAAATTAACTTTTTACTTTTATTGCAGCACCTCCGGAATGTGAAACGGGTCAGCTGACGTGCGGCCAGTATGTGTTCAATAAGACGTACTGCATCCCGCCACACTACCGCTGCGATATGCACGTCGACTGTGTGGACGGCACCGACGAAGCCGACTGCAGTGAGTACCCGCCTTTATATTACTCACTTTTTCACAATATAACACCCATTCCTTTCAAGAAAGATTATATGATAATATGTCCATCAGTTCTGTAAAGAAAAGGCACCCGGAAAGTCGGGAAACAAACGTCAGTTAAAATTTAACACGTTAAAATACATCAAATTAGTTTAATTAATTGTGTAGTTGGTACCTATTCTGGTAAGTTATTGAAATGATTATGTTCCCTAATGAAATTATAATATTTAAAGGCATATTAGCCAAAATGAAAACCACTCAAAACGTATAAATTACCAAAAATTTTATTTTCCATTAATAAAATAAAATGTTTTAACAAAGAAAAAGTTAGAAAAGTTAAAAAAGTTATTAATCATCATCATTACAGTCCTTCACAAGTCCACTCCTGAACATAGGCCTTCCCAAAGAATTCCACAAAGCACGGTCCTGAGCCACCTGCATGTGTTACTCATCCAATTATAACAACAAAAATCATTAGTTGTCACTTATAAATTAATAATTAAAATTGATAATCATAAATTAAATAATAATTAAATAATAATAATATAAAATCTCTAAGCTTCTAAATCCATAATATTGAAGATCTTAAAAATAAATAATTTGCCAAGACCCATGCAATAAATGTGTCTTAACTATTTGAAGAGCAACTCCCGCCCTCCCTCAATTACGTACGCTATGCCTGTCACCACCAATCCCATCACCACTACTCCCAACACCATTACACAAGAAAAAATGCACTACCGTCGATAATACGACATGTGTTTCGCCAATACACGAGGCATCCTCATGTGAGCAGATCCTGCGTCTGACCCGTAAGTTATCGGTTCAAATTATAGCGTTACGACCGTTACAATAACACTATTTAATTATTAAATGTTGCTTATTTTCAGACTTAAAAAATTTGTTTATCAAAAGACCTTCCTTTAAAATCTAACTCGACCGATCGACTAATACCGTGTTAATAGTATACTTTTTAAACTAAAGTGTACTATGAACACTTTGAAATAAAATAAACACAACCGCAATTCCTGCACCATTAAAAGTTGCCAGCTTGTTAAAACTTTTCTGCATTTCCAAATGCTTACAAGGTTTAGAAACGCAAAATATATCAGCTATTTTGAATGTTAAATGTGTAAAGAGACGTTGCATTTAAAATTGTATACTACTTTTATTGGTAACGAAGCATTCCATCTTAACCCTCAGGAGTAACAACGCATCTGCACTTTAATCCTTAACCGAGGATAAATATATTATGACCTCATCATTGAATTACCATCGGGTGGACTGTGTGCGTGTCACCGTAACTTCTACGTAAAAAATAGTACTTAATCTCCTTACCAGACCTGACTATGCGTGATAGAGCCCATGATGCTGCTGTTATGCAATACGAATGGGTCGGCTCGATCGGGAAAAGACCACGCTTTTACAGAACACCAGCGTAAAATAGCAGCTTAATGCTGCTGTGTTTCGTATGGTGAGTGTGGAGAAGCGAAGCAATAGTCCTCAAGGGTGACAACGCCTCTATTTTTATGATTCTTAATTATTTTTGATAAATATAGGTTTCCTCGGGCCTTCGGGACATCATTTATTACCAACTGGTACTTTGTGTTTATTTTTCGCTAGGCAAACGGACTTTTTACGGTAGGCATCTTTTACAATAAATTGTAACGTTGAGAGCCGCGGGTTGAAATCCCGCATGAAAATGTTATTTGTATGACCTAAAATAATAATTTTTTCGAGTCTACATGTTGGTCCATGTCTAATTTGTGTATCTAAATGGTGGAGGCACCGCGATAAAGGATAAAATCCTAGTGTGGTAAAGCTAGATCTAGATAATTTTAGCACAACTTCTCTGTGAAATTATTTACCACCGGCGATTTTTCCGGACCGTTTCGACTTAGGGACTTTAAAGAAAAGAGCTTACTCTTCTTTAAAAAGCTGGCAACGCACTTGCAATTCCCCTGGTGTTGCGGTTGATCATGGGCGGCGGTAGTCACTTACCATCAGGTGAGCCGCATGCTCGTTTGCCCCCTCTTCTATAAAAAAAGCATGTTACATCTTTGACTGTCTTGTTGGTCTAGTGAACGTGAGGGCGACTGCTGATCATGTGGTCCCGGGTTCAATCCTTAGGTCGGGCCAAAATAAGTTATTCGGTTTTTTGTCAAGAAATTCTCAGTAGCACCCGGAGTCAGGAAACTGATGATATTTCACTTCCGTGCCTCAGAAAGCACGTAAAGCCGTTTTTATCTTCACCTAATCTCTCTCCGGCCATGTCGGATTTCCTTCACATCGGGTAATGCGAGTGAGAGAATAGATAGTGCACGTACTCGCTCACTATAATCCTGTTCTGTGCAGATGGCTATTCTCCATAGAAACTGGCCACCGTGACCGATATTCAGTCTAGAGGATATTATTATCTTCCGTTAGATATAGGAAATTGTTAACCCATTTGTCGGAAGCTTTTTTTTAGCACTTGGCCCTTGAGCTACCAGCGGCAGCTATGTCTATGGTAGTAAATATAGCCGTGATAATTTTTATTCAGTTTGATAAATTTTTTTATAGAATAAGTGTGACAAACCAGCACACATACCTGATGGTAAGTGGATTTTGTGGCCCATAGACATCTATCACTCCTCAGCTAAGAAGCAATGGAATGCCTCGTATCCAGAAAAAAAAGGGTATCCGGTTCTCTACACTCGCCAAGTGAAACACGGCAGCTTTAAGCTACCATTTTACGTTAGTATTCTGTGAGAGCGTGGTCCTTCCCCCGTGAAGACGACCCATTTAAGCTACAATTGTAATATACTCGTAGCTGCAGCGTGGCCCTACCACGTGGAAAAGGATTTACATGTCTAAATGATTTTATTTATTTAAATACTGGAATTTATAATGAAACTCATTTTACTGATTTTATCGCGTTTTGTTTACTTATTTTAGATTCCCGACATTTCGAGCACTTTACAACACCCATGGTCAAGGGGGGACTGTGGAGTTCGACGTCCCATCATAGTTAATTTTTTTTTACTGAAATATTCCAAATACCACTGTATGTTTACATAAGAGAAGAAAAATTATTTTGAATAGGCTTCCTTCTTATAACATTTTACAATTTTTCCTGGAATAAAAGGAAAATCTTTTTTAACCCTTTGTAGCTTTGATACTTTGTAATCTTACTGGGGCATCCTCCCTTTTCTTATGGAACTTTGTTGGTGCTTCTGTCATATCGGATTACTTCCAAAATATCTCTCAAATTTTCCTGTATTTTCCTGGGATACTGACCATTATTTTTGAACGAGATACTTCAAATTTTAATAATTAAAACATCAAACAAAATATTGATTAAATTTTATTATGTTTAAACTCCATTGTTTTTTATTATTTCATGAGTTTATTATTTTTTTACATAAAAAATAGTTATGATTTTATGGTGGATATTTTAGAATAATTCTTTTGAATTCCCGATGTTTCAAGTACTTTGCACACCCAACGTCACAGGGGTTTCCCCCATAAATCAAAATAAACGTGATATAATCAGTAAGAATATAAATAAATTATTCAGTGTGCAGTATTCTAGTGAATACAAGAATCAGATTCATTTTTTAAACTAAAACAAATAAAAATATATTCTACATATCCCCGACCTCTTCGCGTAAATTGAGAATAAAATTTGTTAAAAAAAGTGTACAAAAAGGATTATTAAAATATTAAGATATTTCAACCATGTAGAATATAACCCGTTGGATGAGGTGATCGCTACCACTCTGGTTTTATTACAATTCATATAGTTATTTTTATCTTATTTTATAGTATAAGGGTGACAAACAAGCACACAAGTCGCCTGTAAGTGGATGTTGTGGGCTTGTCCATTACACCCATTCTCGATTAAGGACAAATGCAAATATGTTGTCAACGTCGAGGACAAAGATGTATTGCCTCGTTTCCAGTCAAAAGATTACCCTGTTCTCTACAACCACCATACAAAATACAGCAGCATTAAGCTGTTTTTTTACGTGGTCCTCCCTCGATCAAGCCGACTCATTGGTGTTGAAACCAGAATGTAGCTGCAGCATGTAAGTAATTATACAAAATTAAATATTATTTTCATAAAGAGAGTGAAAAACCGCCAACTTTCTCACTCCGGGCTGCTACTAGGAATTTCTAGACAGAAAAACCCAAAACAGATTTCGGCCTGACTCGGCATTAAAGCTAGGACCACAGGATCAGCAGTCGCACTTTCGACCACTGGACCAACAAGGCAGTTGTCAATATCTGGGTAACTAGTTAATGATGAAGCAAAGCATTAGAGACATCACGCCAAATTTAACATGAAGCCAAATTTGAATAAATACGAATGCAAGGACGGAGTTGATTTGTTACCAATTCTGTTTGCAAATGTGAACAACTAAAATGCCAAAATCAGAACACATTAAAAAGTCCATTTCACATATTAATTCGTACCGTGTGCTTATTTTTTCCTACTTTGTTTCCGTAGAGTGAAAAGAAAAACGCTAAAAGACTTTGCAGTCGACTTCAAACAAACTAGGATTGTTAATTCGAATGTGTCTTTTTTTCTTGCATGTAAGATATCTTCGTCAAACGAATTTTAATATTTATTTATTTCTTTGACAGTTTGTACTCCAGGGGTGGGTGATAAAATGATACCCCTAATGCCGAAATATTTAAACATTACTCATCATTATTAAGATATCGTTAAGTCTCGTGCTGTTTCTATCACTTTAAGTCAAAGTGAATGTGACACCACGAGACCTGACGACATCCTAAAATTCCGTTTGAGTATTTGGCTACAAGAGTGGAAAAATAGAGGATAAAAATTTTAATGACATTCGAGCTTGTTATTAGCTCACTCAAATCAAAAGATTAAAAAAACTATACTTTTTTTATAAAAAAATAAAAGTCATCTTTAATTGTAAAAAAGTTTAACCGTCGAATTCATTTAGAAATTACACGATCACTAACAGAATCAC